TTAGTGTTACACGCATATATGGCACTTGTAATTGGAGATCTCTTGGAATCCAGTCGAATCCTCCACAACCGCGCTAAACTCCCTTAAGTATAATCACGTCCAATACCCCGCTGAGCCATATTTTACTATAGAAAGTAACCGAGAATAGATAAATAAGCTATATCACAAAACTTAGAAAGTGTACATTTATAAAGATTGATTATAAAAAAATTTCTTTTTTATATATAAAGCTATTCAAATAATCTATTTCTTGTCACTCGTTGGTAATCTTTACCCATAATACTAGCTACGTGTTCAAAATAACCAACTAAATCCAATAATAAAGGGCTAGAAGTATGTATTCTAAACCCCTGCGTGGAACCCTGTATGTTCTTTTATAATATTTTCTCTACCCTCCTAACGTGTTTCGCTCTCCCTATCTATTAGGAACCTATATAGTGTTTCGTCGACTAACAAGAAAATTATATTCAATTTAAACTATTTATTCGAAATCATTTAATCAACTAATAATTTTTAAATTTGAATAACTTGCTACCATAAATACCGTAAGCTAATCAAAATTAATTCATTTATAAAAGATTAAAAATTTTCTATTTATATATAAAGCTATTCAAATAATCTATTTCTTGTCATTTAATTATATCTACTTCAATAACCAACTAATCCAATATAAAGGCTAAAATATTCTAAATGACTTGTATTCTTAATTTTTAGAATTAAGTGTAGTTTATCTATTGAGGTTCTCTAACAAGAATTATATTCAATTAACTATTTATTCGAAATCAATTTAATCAACTAATAATTTTAAATTTGAAATTTTTACCAAAAATAAGGAATTAGGTCTTAGAGCATACCAATCGAAAATCGGGCTACGATTCCACGATCCGCACGAAGAGAAAATGATTCTACCTCTTGGGGCCTTACCGGAGACTCGCCGGACCGCCGCTGTCTATGGTGGCCGAAAAATCGTGGCTGCTCGGAATCTAGTGCTCTTCACACCATCTAGCTCAGATTTCACTCAAGAATTCATTTTTGGCGTTGGTTGAGCGAGATCGATCCTCTAACTGATCGGAACGGGCTCGACTTGCCTATTGCGCTGACTTAAAATGAATGAAGCGAGAAGGAGGCTACGCCGTCGACAAGGGAGATGCTAGAGCCATCAACTGTGTCGAGGTCGCCGGAGACGGCGACGACGTTGCTGCGTCGATTGCTAGAGAGAGATTGCAGCTCGTCGATTTGCTGCCCCCCGGAAATGAAAACAGAGAGAGAAAGAAGCTGTAGAGCGATGGTGGTGCAACGTCATAGAGAAGATGGATTCGATAAGCTCAGGTGGCCGAAAATAAGAGAGGAGAGAGAGGTGAGCGGCGCCAGAGGAGAAAGAAAGAAGAAGAGAAAAGAAAGAAAAAAAAAATCTACGGTTTCTAGACTATTTCAATTTGATTCGAATCGATTTTGTCTAACTCAATGGTCTAGTTCGGTTCTTGCTTGATTTACAGGTTTTTCACTTGGTTTCAAAAAATTTAAACTGGTTTACAGGTATGGTTTAGCAATAATAAAATACTTTTTTTTTACTAAATTTCATTGGTTAAAATTTTCAATTAAATTTTCAAATGAAAATAAAATTTTCCAGGTCATTTCAGAATATGACAAAATCTTAACTAGAAAGATATTAAAGGACAAATTCCTAATTAGAAAAAGATTGAATTTATAATATTAAATTGGATAATTTAATATTAATGATATTAAATTGGATAATATCCTATTTAGAATTAGATTAAACTTCCTAATAAAATTTAGATTCAAATAGGAAATTAACACCACCAATCAAAATTAAACTACCTTTATTTTCAAGCAATAAAATTAAAGTTTTATAATTAGAATATGACTAAATTATCCTTAATGATATTTTTAATTAACCAATAAAATCAAAAGTACATAGGAGCATTTTAAAAACTCAATGTTTCCCATTCGTACTTTTGTACAGATTAGCAATGGAAGTTTTCTCCGTTGCTAAAGTAAATTAACTAACATTTTGCATGTATTAACTATCAAGAGAATACAAATTTCAATTAACTAATACAAACTATATTAACAAAAGTCAATGATGTTTATTCCTATTTTTTTAAAATAATGAATTTATTTATTTAAAAGTAAATTATCTTTATTTTTTAAACCAAAAAAAATTAAGATTCTTAAAGTTTTACGTTCTTACCATATATATCTTATATAATATATTTGCTTCTCGTTGTCGTTCAAAAGGTAAGGCATTTAACCAGAGGCCCAACTAACGAGATTTATGCTCATAACTGCTCAATTAACAAATTCTACTGCGAGAGTACGGCAAAATTAATTACCCACGAAATTTTTTCAATTACTTACTAATTACACCCACAAACTATACTAACAAAATGTATCAAATGATGTTTTTATTCTCCATTCCTTATTTTATTTTATATAGTATTTATGAAATTTATTTATTTAACAAGTTAAATTATCGTATTATTTTATTAGATCCCCACATAATCTATCACAATTTAATTGGATTCCCATCTTGAAGTTTTTTTATTACCAGCAATATTATATCTGTGAAATAATAGGTCTCTTCCCTCACCCTATAAGGTGTTTAATCCAATAATAAGAAGAAATTTATTATTTAAATTAGGAGACCCAATTATATATCGCTTAATTTAATTTTAAATTAGCTTTAGTTAATCACGTATTCCTTTACTAAGGAAGATATTAACAATTAATGAAATCCTTAAAGAGTGTTATATAATATTCTAACTACCATAGTATTTTATCTATAAATAAATATTTATTCACTATTCCTTAATTTATCCCAAATATATTATTAAATAAATTTGTGTTAATTCTGTTTAACCAAATGGAAATTTAAGAAGTACATATTTAATATAGTGAATTTTTCCTATATTTTTAAGCAATTTTGCGGATTATTTATAACTCTTGTATTTTTTCGATTTATATTCACATAGTTGGTTAGAACAGATCTTTAATTTTAACTCATGAGAATAAAAATTATTTATTATATACGAGTGTGATAAATAGAGAAAGTAAGTATGGGGTTTTCTCCCACCTTATACCGCTCAGTAGAATAAAGACATGATTAGCTATAACCTCGAAGTAAAAGGCCAAAGGTTTGGTCTGTTAACTAGAGTTGCGTTAGAAAATCTAAAGCTAACACCAAGACAGACAAAATAAATACTTGTGATTTACCTGATAAGTATAATTTATTATTTTATTAAATAAAATTTATTATTTTAACCAATGAAATTAAAATCTTTAATAATTTCCTATTTAGAATTGGATTAAACTTCATATAGTTGTTAGAACAGACTTAATAAATATAAATAAAAATTATTTTATTAATTTATAAATAGAGAAAGTTAAGATTATACTTACCGCAAGAATAAGACATGATTGTAAACCCAATAAGGCAAAGTTTGGTGTAATAATTCTTGATAATCAAAAGCAACAAATTTGTGATAGTCAAGAGTAATAAATTCTTGATAGTCCAAACTCAAAATTAATTAAAACCAAACGTATATATAGTGGTTGATAGGACAAAATTCTAAATAGAATAGTATTAGAGGAAAATTTCCTAATCAGAGTGGGATTAAATTTATAATATTAATATAATAAAAATAATAAATTGATATTATAATTAGAATAGGATTAAAGTCAAATTCTTATTAGAATGAGATTAAATTTATAATATTAATAAAAAAGAGCTACCAATTAATGATTAATAAATTTAATATCTTATATTGAAATATATTTAAATTATAAGATATTATATCGTAGTATTTTTATATGTATAAAAATTCCAAAAGTTTCTAATTAGAATGAGACTAAATTATTTTTTATGATATTTTTAATTAATCAACTAATAAAATTAAGAGTTTTCTAATAAGACTAAATTATTCTTCAAGCAACCAACAAAATTAAAAGGTTGCAGGGGCGTTTGAACCCAATATTCTCCCTCATTAGCGCACCCCTGCGCGCGCGTGCGCACAAACACACACACACACACACACACAAACCACTACCCGACACAAACACACACACCACACATCCGCATACCCTTACACTACATCATTATTTTTTATTGTTTATTATATATTATATATTATAAATTAATTCCATATACTCCCCACCTTCTTGTGATAATTTTCCTTATTTACATGTCAATTAAAATAGAGATATCTATTGATATATTAATAGGCCTCACCTCCCCTTTGAAATTATTGAAATTCTCATGGACTATGTTACTCCTATTTAAAATATTAAAACTTAAAAAAATAGAAAATAAACCCAACCTTATATACCTGATTCCCTTAACAAATATGTGCCCCAATCTTACAATCCAAATTAAAAAATTTAAAATTTGTGCATTAGACCAATTTGAATATTGAAATTCTCATGGCTATGTTACTTCCATTAAAATATTAAAACTAAAAAAATAGAAAATAAAATATATTATCTTAACAAATATTAATCTTACAATCCAAATAAAAATTTAAAATTTTATTAATAAAATATAAAATAGAAGGGAGGAAAAAAAGAGAAAAGGAAGTGCAAGCATACCAAAGAATGTGGCAGTGAAAAGATATGCAGTGAAAATAAGTTCTGAATTTTGGTTACAGTTTTAGCAACGGATAAAAATTTCATTGCTAACCTATTTGTAGAACCTGTTGTCAGCTCTTAGCAATAGAAAAATAATGAAACAAAATTTGTTAATTAATAAAATAATATGATTAAGGAAACACTCGTCGATATAAAATATAATTTTCGAATTGATTATAACTAAAGCTATTTTAGGATATTTTAGATTTTATTGACAGCGATATAGGAAATCTCATTATTTCTCTCCTATTCGCACATTTATATATAATATAGATAGATATAGAAGTATAGATAGATTTTAATTTATGTGAATAAGGGTAGAAATTGAGAATATAAATTATCACTATATATAATTGCATTTTCCTAGAATTTATAGAAAAAGAAATGTAAGAATCTTTTTGATCGGAAAGAGTATAGAAATGGTAAAGCTTGGGAACTAAATAATTATTTTCTCTTAACTAAGTATAAGTAATAACAAGAGAACCCCAAAGCTGAACTTTACCAATTTTGCGCCAACAAAACAAAGGAAATGGCAGCCTCTAAAGTTTTGGCGGCAGCGGCGGGGAAGTTAGGACCGATGGCCCGACGACAGGCCCTAAGCCTAACAGACGCGGCAGCCGCTAGAATACGCTACCTGCTGCAGCAGCGCCAGCGGCCTTTTCTTCGGCTGGGCGTTAAGGCTCGCGGTTGCAACGGCCTATCCTACACTCTCAATTATGCAGGTTAGTGCAAATTAACCCTAAAAGAAGCTTATCTTCCTTTGTCGAAATATCGATTTTGTCAAATTGATTTTGTGCTTGTATTTTAGCGAATTAGGCTTGAAAGATTTTTTTTCTCGATACGAGTGCAGATGAGAAAGGGAAGTTTGATGATTTGGTTGAAGATAAGGGTGTTAAGATATTAATTGATCCTAAGGCACTTATGCATGTTATAGGAACAGAGATGGATTTTGTAGACGACAAGCTCCGGTAATTGTTTTATTCTGCAACATACTCTCTTAAGCATCAACTCGTATGGTTGTGTATATTTTTGGCTATTGATGTACGGTGCTAGTCTGTATGCTTGCAATTGAGATGTCTTTCGTTTCACGTCTGACAAATGTTGGAGAACTCACTGTAGATATGAAATTGAATCAATATGGTAGGACTCAGCCTAACTATTCTGTGGGAAGAGGGAAAAATACAAGAATAGAAGGGAAAAAACAAACAGAGAAGAAACAAAAGGAGAGAGAAATTATGTAGTTGTGTTATTATCAAGAATATCCTCCTTAGTACACAGTTTTGGTATATATACCCAATAACAGACACATATACAATTAAATACAAATAAATGCAATCCAATGACCATCAAACCTAATCTTAATTACATTGGAGTCCTAACACAATGTCTTGAACTATAATTATAAGCAGGAAGCTTGGACTTCTAATTTTGTAATGTTTTTCCGAAATTAATTTCATTCAAATGTTGTGAAAGCTTGACTTGAGTTGAAATAAAAGCTTTCTATACTACTTACTGTAGGATGTGGTTTTTACTAGGCTTGTATATTTTGTTAAAATGAACTCTTTTCAATAATATAAAGCAGAAAGCCAATTCTCTTACACTTTCTCTTTATCTATGTCTACTTGGCATTGAGATTGAAACCGGTTCTCTGAAAAGGCATATGTCTTTTTTATGTTGTTGGAAAAAGCAGTTTGAAAGTGTTACTTAGTGGTTTTCAAGCTTTTATGATTAGAACAAGTGAAATTCATCCAAAAATAAATTTTAATGATCTCTAATGAATCTTTTCAATATAATGCTATTCTCAACTGCATCTCAAACGACAATATCAAGCATATCCTCTGTCTATCTCATTTGATGTGTCTAGAGCAAAGATTTTCAGCTCTTTGCTCTCCCTACTCTAATCTGCGCTGCATTTGCTTTTCAAATTGCAATTTTGCAGATCGGAATTCATTTTCATCAATCCCAACTCTAAAGGGCAATGTGGTTGTGGAGAGTCCTTTATGACAACCAGTAGTGGACAAGCTACTAAACGTGGTGGTAGTTAAGGATTGTTACAGAATTTCTTCTGGTTTCACTCTCATGGCAATCATTTATTATTTCTAAGAAATTAAGATTGCCCAAACACCATCACGTGGAAAAGAAAATAATACTGGGGTGTGATAGCTAATGGAGTTAGTAAATCTTCTTTTTCTTCACTCATTTTTAAACGAGTAGTTTTATTGTACATTATGTAGAATACAACTTGTGCAGGGTGCAGCATTGTAAATATTCAGTGTTCATCAAGGTTTTTGTAAGTTCAACGTTTCATAGTTCTCTGTTATAAACAAAGAGATAATATGATGCATGTTTTTTGCCCTAGTATGTTTGTGTAACTAACGTTTAGAGTGGACCATTGCACATGCTATATGTTAGTCAATTTCTTTTATTGGATTATTTTTCTCATTTATTAAAAAGATGCATTGACATTGCAGCAAGCTTCTAAGACTAAATTGTTTGTCAATCCTGCTGCTAGTCTGTACGCTTATAATGTTCCAAGTATAGATGTTTGAACTGACCTCAAATTTTATCAGTTGCTGTTATATGGTTCTGATAAACTTTAACCAGTACAGTTATAGAGGAATTATGTTTATGTGGGAACTGTAAGGCATTTTCGGTCAAGTAAAAGTGGAATGAGATCCTTAGTTGGATGATGAATATCGGGAGGTTGATCGACTGAAAAAACAGAAACACTACGAATAATTGTTGAGTAGAGTTGAATGGAGCTATTTAGAATGTTTATTATATATCATGGTATGCATTTAATATTAGATTTTGATACGGAAGTTTTTTTATTCTTATTTGCATTTTGATCTATTAATTAAAGTAGGAAATGCATGTATGAGTTGAAGTGGACAAAATGGAAAGTGGGCGTTTGGTGTTAATTAACTGCTACTTTCCATAGAATTGTTTTAGCCACTTCCACTGGGTGCAATCCAAGCTGCATTGACCGAGTTGGCTTGCTAAAAGGCTAGTTATATTTGTTTGTAGCTATTAATACTTTATTTTCAAGCTGACTTAGCACAAGACTTTCAAAATCCATTCAGTAACTGAATTAATTTTCTCGGGGGTTCACCAGAAGGATGCTATGTCTTAAACGTACTTTTACTTTTTTTTTTTTTTTTTTTTTTTTTTTTTTTTATTTTCCGCTGCGTAGTCATGTGTACCGCCACCGTGATCCCGATGAAATGTTCCAATGAGGTACTAATGATGAAATTTGACCAGCTGACCTCAATGATTTCTATCAGTTGGCTGTATAATATTGGTTCTGATAAACTTTAACCAGGTACAGTTATACAGGAGTTTCATGGTTCTTACCCTTGTGGGTGCGTTAAATTTTGTTGATTAATTGCAATTTTTTGCGCTTGTCAAAGGTAATATACAGTGTGATAGTGAGGATCCTTTATGTCTTCAGGATGAATGCACACTAATCGGCGGAAGGTTGGAATTCCGCACCTGAGAAAAACAGAAACACTGACGGACTATCGGAGATGCTGCTTGGAGTAAATCTGCGGCTGTGTCCATTGGTGCTATACATGGCAGGGAATGGAGGAATATGGGTATCTGCCGACTATACGGGTATAGAGGTCATGTAGCTGAGGCAGTAGATAATAAATACCAATCCAATGGTGATTTAATATCTTCTGTGATGGTATGGCATTTAATATGTAACGCATATGTGACCGGCTAATGAGCTATAATAAGACGAGGAGAAGTTTTTTTTGTGTTATTACCGCTTGTTTTTGCCCATCCTTTATTTTGAATTTCCTATATTCAAAATGTTAAAGTTAATTTCCCCGGAATTATGGTCATCTCGTTATTGTGTTCAGGTTGAACGTGGACAAAATTGAGAAAGTGAGGTCGTTTGTGTATATGATTATAATTAACGCTATTCTTTCTATTAGATTATTTTCGTTTTTTCTAGCCACTTTTTCCAGGCTGGGTTTCCTGTCAATCCAAGCTGCATTGACCGTCTACTTTTGTGGCTTTGCTAAAAGGGCTTTAGTTGTATATAAGTATTATGATTTGATAGCGTAGTTTAATACTTTATTTACATAACCCTGGACTTAGTTCCACACATACAGACTTTATCAGAAATCGCGGGATTTTCTCGAGTAACTGTATATGTAATTTTTCTCGGGGGGTCTCACCAGAAGGCATGCTTGGTATGTCGCTTAAAGAGCGTATACTTTTTTACTTACCAATATTTTTTTTTTTTCTTTTCTTTTCTCCTGTTTTTTGTTTCAGAAGGGATTGTGGCCTTTACAAAGCAACTCACATTTTTTTTTTTTTTTTTCTTTTTTTTTTTTTCAGAAGAGGTATACAAAACAATTATCAAAGTTCAAAAGGCTTCCATGAAAATTGCAGGTTAACCTTGAGGTGTGTTGTCAGATATGTATTTCAGCTGATATTGTTCAAGCCCATATAGGTTTACTCTCTGCATAAATATGCAGAACATACCTACGATTTATGGATGTGCACCTAACAACAAATGAACTTATGCATAAATTTGATCATATACTTTCGGCAATTATTCTTGTGGCCTTTTGAATTTTGCGGGGTTAGAGAATTCATCATGCCCCGCAATTTCTCACATTTCAATTATAACAGAAATTTCTAAAATGTAGCTTATAAAAATAGTAGGGATTTTTTTTCAAAAAAAAAAAAAAAAAAAAAAGCAATTTTCTCACATATGTCCAATAGGTTTTTAGGCATGCTAGAAAATTTGTTGGTCTCTCCTACCTTTAAAATGGTGAGCTTAATAAAAAAATAGTAAGGGATTTTTTTTTTCATAAAAAAAAAAAATAATGAAAGAAAACCAGGTATGGGATTATTTTCGCGCTTTTCCATTTGTATAGTCTCCGCAGATTTTGTCATTGCTATCAATCACTTACCGTCACCCTGATATAAACCCACCAAGAGGAGTTTCTATTTACTAAATTACTTTAACTATTAGTTAACGAATAATAGCAACTCAGCTCAAATAACATAAATTTATTGCATTCTCCTTAATTATTATTTTATAGAGCCAGGGCTTGGGGCCCATTGGTTACTGTACCTTCGGTCACTGTGATTCCCAGGCCATCGCTAGGCCTTTGGTTTTTTTTAAAAAAAAAAAAAAAAAAAAAACAGTAGGGATTTTGCTCAGTTAGCGATTTCTATCAATCAACCGCTGATTAAAAAAGCTTACTAAATACTTAACTATTAGTTACGAAATAGCAATCAGCTAAATAAAAAATGCATCCTTAATTATTAGACAGGGGGGATTGGGGTCTAGCCTGGTAGGGCAGGGTTATGCATTTGCATGAGATAACCGGAGCTCAGTACCACTCCCTATTTCCCGTCTCTGTTCCCTCTTTAAGAGAGAAAAGTTAATTATTTGATGGGGCAGAATGGATCGTGTTATAAGGCAAATTTGCCGCTAAGGTTGAAATTATTTTTTCCAAATATCATTTTAAATTGTTTTACAAAATAGTTTTAGAGTTGTTTAGCTCTTTTGAAGATTTTATAATTCTTTAGCGGATGTTTAATTAATATTTTTAACTTAAAAATAGTAATGTAAAAAAATATCCTAATTATTCGCCATCTAGCTCAGCTGTCTTCAGGTTTCAAGCTGAAAATAAATGTTACACTTCATTCATGCAAAGATATGGCATCTTGTCTCCAATAAAATAGTGTTGATCGAAATTACCAATGACAAAATAATTATCACAAGCTATGAGAACTTTTGTAGTTCATCCAATACTTCGACGAGCTAAAAGAAACTATCAAACATTAGTCTTTTCATTCAAGATTCCATATTGATATAAAGGTTCAATCCAAAACATGGAATCATAAAAGAATAAGTCATCAAGTGATAAAGAATATTACAGTCAACAGTCATGTATCATATAAAAGGAAATCGAAGCACAAGTATTGAAACATCTAAGTAGCTTTTGCTTTCTGGTCTATCTATTGTGAGCATCCTAAAGGAACTTTAAATAATTAGAAAACTTACACTATCTCGTCTCCCCTGGAAGTCTGGGAGAAGATAGTCTGTTACGAGACCATTCTTCCAGTGCTTTTCGATGGAGAGAGTTCATGTGAATAAGAGGTCGCTTTTCTTTGATGAACTTCTCAGCCATTTTCCAATCTTCCACCACGCCTAAAGCCACTAAAAGTGCGCACACTACAGCAACACTTCTTCCATGACCTAAACAAGGATTAGGTATTATTCAATAGATAGATTTTGTGCAATTATGGACACATAGTTCACAAGAAATAACTACCTACTACAAAATAGCTTGGAACTGTAAATAGCACAACAAAGAGAGAACAACTTATATTACATAATATGCCTTTTTGAGCAAACAGGGGAGAGGATGTTTTGGAATAAATTTGATTATTAGATTATTCCCATATATTTTAGCACTTTAAGAGCTTTTTGCAGTTTTTCATCCAAGATTTTATTAGCTAGAATACCCACTTTTGGGTACAAAAACAGTCCAAGAAATAAAATTCACACACACACACACACACTGACACAGAGCCCTAGTACGATTAAACATGTTATTTCTTCAGAAGATACTTGAGTTGTAATAAAGTTATACGGTAGGAAATCAAACTGTGGTGGGCATAAGAGATAAATCACATTCACTTAAATGTGCAACTGCACCGTGAACTCAATTTTGTATGTCATGAACTCAATTTTGTATGTTATTCAATACTAAAATTGCATTAGGTACAAGAACAACTTAATATCTTGAGAATCATGCCCTAAGAATTATAAATTCTACTATCATGAAAGTTTGAGTACTGATTTCTAAATTTCATCAAAGAGAGAGAGAAAAAAAAAAAAAAAAAAAAAAAAAAAAAAATTTCTTGGTGTCTAAACAAAAATTGCACGAATGCCTATTTCTTCTTCTGGGATAGACCCTTGAAGGATTGGTGAGTGGATTGTTGCAAACCGCATGTTTTCAACCACATATTACACTCTAATTAGTCTGCAAATGGTTCATAGAATTTTCTCTCGGACCGCCCAATTCTCGCCCTACCATCTTTGAAATACTGATTTTCTATGGATATGAACTCCTAGGGTCCCACCTATAAAAGAAATTATCGTGAAAAATACTGAGCACAAGTATTGAACATCTAAGTAGCTTTGCTTTCTGGACGACTTGAACTCTTCCAGTACTCAATACGGTGCAAATATCTGCTGTGCACATGCCGCATCCTTAAAATACAACCAGGGGAAACTTTAAATAAATATAGAAAAAAAAAGGAAAAAATAAACGGAGTTTGATCACGCCTTCACACGTGTAGGCGTTCCTAAATTCCGACGTAGTCCCTATATTCCCCACTACAGGCCACTTGCCGAAGTCGTATGCTGTTCCATGCCAAGCTTTTGTGACTTTTTAGGCCGTCTTCTGGCAGAAGATGACTTTTATTAAGCGTATTATTCGCTATATGTGGCTTCTACGGCTCCGTTGTTTTTGTGGTAACGCAGGCATAGGGCGAAGACTTAGTGAAATTGGTGAAATCTCTTGTCTTCTTATCATACATACAATTATGAAAATTCATTCCTGCAAAAATGAGGAGTGCCCAATTATGTGCTTCGTGGATGATTCTCGACATAAAAAGTGCGTTTCAACGTACCGACAATAAAGGAATGTGTATGTACGAAGACAATGAATGTGTGCCTTCGATTGGCATTTAGAAGAATTTCGACTCAAAATATAAGAGGCTGCCTCGATCCACTTTCAGTTCGAAAATATATCCTCACACGGGCAAACCAAGGATGGATATTGTATGGGCATTGACCGTGTTAGAAAAACCATTCCAGAGTTGGGATCTATTCAATCACCGTCTATGCCCCCAAGTTGCGTACAACAGGGCCAATGGAAGAAGCAAATGGGATATCCAATTGACCGGAGGCATGTTTTGCGGAACTTACGCGAAGGATGTTACAGTATCATTGGCACTTCTGGCGTGAGCAGGCCTCGACGCAATCTGTCCAAGTTCACATAGTTTTATCTGATCCATTGAGTAACAATAACCATAGCGTATTTTTAGCCGGACTTTTTGCGAGGCATGGCCCCAGAAAGGCTAGTACTTCTCCGTGCATCCCATTTCAGACGGCGCCATAGCTCATGATTTCATGCCCCATCTAAATGTAAAAATGGACACCATTGATGGTACTTAGCCTTACCTCTCCCCCTCCGTTCCACCGCACCTAGGTGCAAGAACCAACTTTCGAAAAAGCCTGCCCTGCCTCTATTATAGAACATCCCCCACGAGTAACGGCAACAGTATTTCCTGGAAGATGATAATAACGCGTCTCAGCGATCCGTATTGCCATTCGTATCCGTCCTTTGGTGGATCCCTCCGGGTTAAGACTTCTTCTGAGAGAAGATCACTGTAATAGTCATCACCCTCTCAGTTCACCAGGGCTAGTCATCCCACCAAATAATTATCGATACGACACCGTAAACAAGGATTAGGTAATATTCTGTGCTGCTGAATTATTCTTAAGTACGAAACCCGTAGTTGAGATGAGGTCCCAAATGACTTGGCGTCCTTTAGTATGCACCAACATACCTCCCACATTTGACCATTGTGAGCCCAGAGTTAGCCAGAGCATTGCAATTCAGCAAAATCGATATCCTTGGCCTCCGTGGTAAAAGTAGTGGAAGGATAGATCTTCAAATTGCTGGCCAATATCTGGTGACACACAAACGTTGATTCAAAGGTCGAAAGGAAATTCCACAACGCTTCTTCCTTTAATTTATTCATTTTCTCTCACGGCTTGAAAAGAAATAGAAGACTGATCCAAACTCGGAACATTTCACCGAAAACTTGAGGGGCATCTTTTAATTCCTCATTTATTTCAGGAAGAGGTGCTTCTAACCCCTAAATATGTCAAAGGCGTTCATACTCCTGGCTTTGCAGTTGATATTCGGTGCAGGGTGAATTATGAATCAAACTTAGACATTGGCGATTTGTAAGACCAATATTCCACCAGGGAGTTTAAATTGACGAATACAGGACTATCGATGTATCCCCATTATTTCATTGGTAATTTGAAGCTCATCGAAGTACATTTCCCAGACTTCACTTTTAAGCTCAACAATTCTTCATCAGGAAATTCATACCTCCGGCATTTGGTCTTCGACTGGTAATCTGCTAATTGATCGGCTTAAGGCTCCGCCCTTTCACCACTTCGTTGCACAAAACTTCAAAATCATTAAGCAGCAGAGACTGACACCCATTGCCATCTTACAGTTCAAGAACCGGCCTCTCCATAAGGAATTTTCAAGGGGTTCGACTCAGAAATAACGCTTGGTGTGTAAGATGGGGGTAAGTGTTGTAGCTTCGCCTACAGGCTCCATACTAGAGTCCAAACAACAGTTTCTTCTGTTGTATTTCAACTCGTAGTTCTAGCATCCTTTTGTGAGGTAATATACGGCATTTTCACCCTTGTATCTTCTTGCTTGTTGATCTAGCCAATTGCACCCCTCGCTTCTTCTGTCACCCGATTAAGTACAGCAGCAATAGGGCTTTCCCGTAGCCTTTAAGGTGGCCTGTAAAAACTGGGGGGAATAACACGATTATCTGTTTGACACTTGGGTCGAGCCCTTCATGTAGAAATTCCTCCATTCCTTTTACGGCCACTCCTTTTGCTAGAGCACAAATTGTGCAAAATTGGCCTACATAAAGTGATCCGGTCCCAAATTTGTTTAGATGAAATTTCGGACCTTGATTATACCTGTCTCAAGCCTTCCTAAAGAAACCCTCCGATACCTCCTCTATTATTTCGTTCCTATGATCCCCTTCGCATGAGTGGTTCCCCATTCCCAGGATGGCCCTTTTGCTTATTTGAAGAGTCAATTCTCCGCTATGGCCTATCTGGACGCCTTGAACATAGAACCGTTGAGGGCCTGAAAGGAAGAGGAAATGTTATCATTGGAATAACACGTGGTTTGTGTAGCTAAATAATTGATTAGGCAATTATATTTTTGCCCGGAGGGTATATTTTTGTCGAAGCTTTAAAGAATAGCTTTCTTTGTAAGCAAGTCTATAGGAGTATATCATCCTTCCATCAAGAATTAAGTGTTACCGCTCCAGGGAGTACCCCACTTTTGTGGTATATCCCCAAAAAAAACGATGAATTCGCATCATGAAGGTATTATTCGACTTTCAACGACTATGCGCCAATAACAACTCACGCAATCCGAACAACTAAAGCCTTACTTAGACTCATAATTCTCAGTGAAGCACCTCTTTGTCAATTTGGACACGAAAGCTTAAATAGAGCATCTCCGTGTTATTTCTTTGTCCAGCCGACAGAATACTTTGAGTGTTAAATTTTAAATGGTATTCGGTCAGGCAACTCCAAACGTGCCATTTTTTTTGGTAGGGCGCACCCTAAAAGAAAGATACTAGAAATCGAACTCCACCCTTCTACCTTAAATGTGGCAAACTGCACCGTGAAACTCAATATTTGTATGTCATGAACTCATGTATTGAGTCAATGTGGATTTTCCGGATTTCATACCTCCCAAACCATTTTCGCCCGTTTTAGGTACAAGAACAACTTAATCATCTTTGGAGAATCATGGCCCTGAAGAATTATAAATTAATGAATGCCCCGTTTCTCTTGCTACTTATCAGTGTGACTAGAGTTGTTATGAGATTAATGGCCTGATTTTCTAAATTTACTTTCAAATTATTTTTGAGATTGTGAGTGAAAATTACAAAAAAACAAACATAAAGATACCACAGGAATACAAAAGGAGGACAAAGAAAACCACCATAGCTGCACTACATATCTCGTCCTTTGTATCCCTCAATAGCATCACCGAAATCCAAGCGAAGACCTAGTATATCCACAAAGGTACCAATATAGATTGTTGGCTTGGGTTATGTGATTTGCGTGAAAGGTTGCCTTATTTTGGACATGAGCTGTTTATTCCAAGGACAACTCGTGCAAAAAGCTATACATGTGCAAGGAGGAGCAAAAAGCCGATATTGATAAGCGCTTCGGGTGTACAAAGAAAGGAGGTAATAACTACTGAAAGTCGAGGCTATAAGTGCATCACATAACGAATATTTTACAAATGGGAACTTGTGACACAATCCTATTCTTCAGACAGGCCTTGTATAATGGGTGTCAGCCGGAATGCGATTTGATGCATGAGAACAACATGTTGTTTTGACAAGCTATACAGAGCAAGTTGAAAGCTTACTATACTGAAAGGCCAGGTGAAGTTGCAATGCAATTTTCAAGAGTTTCCCTTGATTTGGTAAATAGTTAAATTTGACTTTGAAGTCTTATAATATTTCTATGAGTCAACGCGATTTACCATAGACCAAAATATTGAAAACCCTTCTTCCATTTCCCCTCTCCCTTCGAAGTCTTACAAGGATTAAATCGAATCTCGAGGCAATACGCCATTCCCGTGGTCCATTCAGCCCTTCCCTTATACTATTCTCTAACCATATATCGGAGTATCTCTTCCAATAACCTGAGGGATTAGTCAGCACTTCTGCTCACTGTGGGAAACATTATAACTGGAAATACGGTTTTGTGCGCTAATGCTTTTTCCAACAACTAAGGTATGCAAAGTGTGGAATTGGGTCAATGGATCATATTCCCGTTATATTCAACTTTTAGCATAATAACATCATCAATTGAAATCCGACATACAGGTCCATAATTCTCTACTGAAAACTAGTAAAAAAAAAAAAAAAAAAAAAAAAAAAAAAACAGGACAATAATCTGTATCTATAGCACAAAAGGAAGATAGTTATAAAGATAGGTGCTTGTATTTCGTGATGGGAAGTGGCAATGTGCAAAATATACATTCAAGGAGGAGCAAAAAGCGTTTGATAAGCGCGTGGTGTCAAGAAGAGGTTAATAACATGAAAGTGAGCATGTTGAAGAAAAAAGAAGGTTGTAAAGGTTCAGGATGAGAATGGTTACAAGCATAAGCAAGTTGAAGTTACTACTGAAAATGAAGTGCAATGCATTCAAGATTTTGATTTGGTAATTTTACTGAAGTTTAATATTCTATGTAAAGGGATAAAATTTAAAATTTTCATTCCTCCACAGGCAAAGGATTATCAATCTCACATTGCTTGTTTTATACCATTCAAGATGTAGACAATAGAGCCATTGCTACTTGAACATTCAAGGGGTAATGCTTTTTCCAAAAAGGAAAAGAATGATGAACAATAAAAATCATGCAATTGTCTGAATGTAAAGTCAGGTATTCAAGAATACAATAATCTGAGTTTTTTGGTCGTCAGTTCCACTTCTAATAGGCATTAGGTATACTCCCTCCTTTATACCATCAAAGCATTGCCTTACTAGATGTTCCATGCTAGCAAATATATCCACATAAACAGAATGTTGCTAATAAGATGGTTAAAAGAATAGAAATATCTATATCCGACCCTATTGGTTATCACACAAAAGAATTTTATTCATACAACCACCACTGGACAGATTAATTTAGTTGTCATTTTGGGAAATGAGCAAATATCAAATTCTTTATTCTGACTTCTCCTTCATGGCTAAGGAAGAGATCTATATTCAAATGGACATTCAAGAAAATGTTCACATGTAAACACAGTAGACTTTGGGCTCAAGCTAGGTGAATTGTACCCCTCACAATGAAAACAAAAGAAACTCAAAAACACTTCAGCAGCACATCCATTTGTGCATAGACACACATACAAAAACAAAAAGGGTCCCAGAAGTAGCGATCTAACAGTGGATGTATATTTTTGCATAAAATGGCTGCTGAAAGAAATTAAGACAAATAGATAGACTGGAGATAGCTGATATCACTCATGCTAGGGATGCTTTAAGCAAGAATTGAATGTCATTGCAATGGATCTACTGATAGCAGCCAAAGACCCAAAACATTTTTTAAAAAGGAAAATGAGATCATGGATAAACAGCACAGCTAACCACAAGTTGTTGAACTCCAAATAAAAGTTCAATCTATTTTAAAAAGGAAAATTGAGTATCATGGATAAACGAGTAGCCACGGCAAATGTCTTAATCCTTTACAGGGTTGGTTGAACTTCCCAGGAATAAAAAGTTCAATCTATTTTCTTTTTGCATATCATAATTCAAAAATACTTTGACGGGAGGTTATCTGGAAGTTATACGGATGGTTCATTGGAATCCGATTAATTGCTTAAGGAACTTGAATCTCTCCGTTAGTGTGAGTGCGAGAAACTTTTTTTTTCTTTTATTTTTAATATTTATTTTTTATTTTTTTTTTTATTCAGAATTGAACCAAAGAGCGTCTTAACTTAGCTGCAAGAACTAAAAACTCAACTAAACAATCAGTTACTTATCTTTGTGTAATATTATGCGGGAACAAAAAGTAGCCTAAAAGATCAATAAGAAGTTTAATTAATCATCAGTGTCACCGGGGACAAGAAACACATTAATCTTTATGTTGAAGTGTTGAAAAAGGAATGTGAAAGATGTAAAATACAGACGTCATCTGGTATGCTTTTCTTGTCTTGACTCACCCTACATATGTGCCATAGCAAATATGAATATTAGCTTTCTTTCTCAGCCCAGTCCACAATGGATGCTTTAAGCAAGAATTGAATGTCATTGCAATGGATCTACTGATAGCAGCCAAAGACCCAAAACATTTTTTAAAAAGGAAAATGAGATCATGGATAAACAGCACAGCTAACCACAAGTTGTTGAACTCCAAATAAAAGTTCAATCTATTTTCTTTTGCATTTATCATAATCAAGAAATACTTGAATTATTGGGTATTCGGGTTGCCTACTAATCCTGACAAACTTTTTTTTTTTTTATTTTTTTATTTATTTTTTTTATCAGAATTGAACAAAGAGCGTCTAACTTAGCTGCAAGAACTAAAAACTCAACTAAACAATCAGTTACTTATCTTTGTGTAATATATGCGAAAGTACCTAAGAGCATAGAAGTTTAATTATCATCTCACCGGGACAGACAACTAGTGAAGTTGAAATGTTGAATAAACAACTGGTGACCACTACAATATGCATAGCAAAATGAAATTCTCAGTCCAAATGCACTAGAATCAAACAAATTAACCAAAATCAAAATAAAACTGATATCCAGCACTAAACAGCCAAACCAAAAGGAAACAAGCAACAAAACATAAATCAATAGCACTAAAATGTGTGTGTGTGTATATATATATATATATATATATATAACAGCCTTAAAAAAGATTAAATATCATCATATTACCATATGCACAATGTATGAAAACAGGCTTATTCTGAGCTCTTTTTCTACAAGCCCACTTCACAGCAGATTCAATCTCCCCTGGTTGAGGAGATCTCGTATCCCAAGTTGGTATACAAAAATAAGAGTGCCCTTTAAACTCCGATCTTCTTGGAAACTCACATGTACAATCTATAATAGCAGGGTCACCAGGTGGCAATTTATTGGGCGAATAAGGCCACGCACCAACATAAACCCCTTCACAAATCTCATTATAAGGATCTTCCCCACTAATCAATCTACGCGCTAATGAAAAGGCTCTAGCCAAGAACAAGTAAGGAGAGAACATGATGATTGACCAAATTGGAAATGTCCCATCCGGGTTTTTGCCTAAAAGCATAGGGAGGTTAATTGATGGATGAGAAGCTAAAGATATTAGTAAAGACACCAATGAAGCATACAGAAATGGTATTGATAACAAAATGAAACCAAGGGCTCTAAGGAATCCAAAGATGAGGAACAGCACTGTTGCTTGACATCCCAAGAAGACTGATATTCCGAGACCCATTTTTTCTGGTTTCTACTATTCAGAGAAATTTCAAGAAAAGGAACTTGCAGTTAGAAAATTTGGAGTATTGTTGGAAAATTTTCCACTTGAGTTCAGAAACATGGGTCCTCTCGATAACAAGGAGCCAAACACAACAATAGAGAATGAGATTAGGAAAGAAGATGCTCACTTCATAGACGAAAGAAACGGTATTTAATCCTCTCACTTTGTGGAAAAATTATTATTTCATCCCTGAATTATGACCAAATTATTTAAATGGTCCCTATTGTTTGGTTAAATACCCAGCATGTTCTTGAGATTTAGTTCCGTCGTCGTGAATAGCATTTCTGTCCAATTTTAATGGTTTTGACTGTTAAATTAAGGTGAAAAAACTATGCCCTCAAATACCTCTTTTTGTGCAGGAGCTTATCATATTCAGCAAGAAGAAGACGTATAAATTAACCAAACCCATTAAAACAAAATCCATATTGCAAAAAAAAAAAACTAAAATGCATACCGAGAACTCCTTGAGCCAAATTAACCAGCGCAGAAGTAGCCAAAATCCATCTGCAACCTTGTATTGAAGAGGCCCAAATTTGAATGGTACATGATGAGGCAGTACAATAAGCTCAAACTCCCTTGGAATTGCTTGAGATATCCTCACCGCTTGATGCCGGACCTATTTGATGATGTCTAGTAGATGAGGGACTAAGCGCGCAGGATAAGAAGCAGTAACATTACCAGCGCATGTTAGAGGACGACAGTGGATTAGAGAAAGCTATTACTATTTTCGAGGCAGCCAACAAATTCAGTTAAGGTTTGCTTGTGCTCGGAAGTTTGGGTAAACAGGGGCAAAACTAGGAAACATTGATTGCAGGTGCAAAATAAAATTTTTTAAAATATGGGGTGTAAAATATAATTTTTTATATTTTTAAGGGTCAAAACACAATTTTTTACAAGAAAATTTTTTTGAGAAAATTTTTTTAGGGGTGTGGTGGCCCCCCTCTACCTAGTTTGTTTGGCCCCTGTAGGTAAAGGACGAGTGCCCATTTATTGGACCAGAAAAGGCCAACTACATCTTCGTGACCTTTTCAACAATTTTATAGTAAATAATTAAGATAATATTTTTTTCAAAAAAAAAAAAACTTAATTTTGTTAAAAAATAAAAAATTATTTCGTATATATTATATAATGATAAAAATATACTTAAAATAAGAAGTATCTCCATGTCTCAAAATAATTAAAATAAAAAATGCTAAAAAAAAATTTTATAATGTAAAAGGAATTTGTTATCATAATTTTAAAAAAATCATTAAAAATTTTATAAAAATAAATTATTTTTTTAAAGGAAAACAGAATGGAAAAATTAAAAACAAGTTGGCAACTTGAACTTTTATTATAAATAAAAAGGAAAACGGTTTACTTCAGAATTTAAATGACTTAATTATCATTTTAATATATGTGATAAATTCAAGATTTGCTTTCTAATTTTTTTTTTTTTTGAGTATTTGGAGAGGGGATTCAAACTTGGATCTATTATCAAGTTGTATAAGTACTTACCACTAGACTATGTCTTGATATGCCTTTTTGAATGCTTCTTGGAAGGTCTTTAAAGTATGGATTTTAGAAAAAAAAAAAAAAAAAAGGGTTTGTGTGTTTTTGAGTATTTTTGAGGAGGGGATTCAAACTTCTGTCGGATCTGATTATTCAGTCCCTTGTGATTAATAGGAGTATGCCGCTTGTCTTGGGGCACATACCGAGCTAGACTTATGTACGTATATGAATATGCCTTTCTTGTGCTGTTGTCGTTCTTGGAAGGTCTATATAAAAGTTATGCGAGTTTTAGAAAAAAATAAAAAATATCAAAAAGGGACAAGTTGTCTATCATCATGATTTGATGTTTTTTTTAGCTTTTTATCTGTTGTTTTTATACAAGGGTAATGGATCTAAGACTGTTATAACTGTTTAATTGGTTCGGTTATTGGAAGAAACATATCTCTCTCACTAGTTTTTTCTAGTATTTTCTTTCGTTTAAGTTTAATTTATATTTTTTAAAGGAGATTTTATAAAATCATCCTATGATAGTTCATCATGAAATCCTCCCAAAAAGATGTTTGTCTTAATATCCAACAGTTGTATGATTTCTCTCGGACTAGGATTTTTGATACGTTGTCTGGAATTATTGGGCCTGGAGTAAAACTGTGTGGAGAGATTTATAAATAAGGCGAACAAATTATTAGGCCAAGTTGATCTGCCTACAGGAAGATTGTACTTTTTTAAACCCACTCAAAGGTCGGGAGTTTTTGGGGTTCTTTTATTGGCAGAAAGCTCTTATCATGGATTACCACCGCGTTTGCTGCTTTATATATAGGACGGGGTCTCCAATTTCATTTCATTTGCCTTTTCACCTTCTTTCATTTTAGGCAACTACTCAACAGCATCTCCTCTAAAAAAATGCTTTTCTCTTTCTCTTCTTAGTAAGTTGTTCCTTCTGTTCGTTCTATGATGTGTTTTAGTTTTACTCTTATATTCGCTGTGGTTGTGCTTTGGCTTTTAAGGAAATTTGCGGTCGACCGCGCAACCGCTCGCATGGGTTGTTCTTAGTGATCGACAGTGCATCCGGCTGTTATGGAGATAGTTTTTGCCGCAGAGCCTCTTTTGATTCCTTAGGAAAAAATTGAAAATACCGAACTGACCGAGCTATATGAACTGTTGGTACTAAGCCCAGAAGAGACAAGCGCAAAATATTAGGATAGGCTAATATTTCAGTCTACCATGGAATGAAGGCAAGCTCTTAAGATTTTCTCTTACATGTATAACATCTCGCCATTAGTACAGCTTTGTGCGGGTTCACTTTGGGCGTACTAATCGTGCAGCAGTGAGTGGACGATTGCTGGACATTCGGATCGGTTCTTAGATTGATGCTGTTGCATGAAAGAGGATCTTTACCTGCTTTGGACCCCCGGTGTTGAGTTCCGTGTTAATTGACGCGTTCGCTTCTCCGATATCCCCCTATTCCTGTTCCTTACCGAAGTACCATATAAATTGTGGCTTACTATAAATCAGATTTCCATCCCAAGTGATCCTGGTTTTCGTATGCTGTAATAAGAACTGATACGGGAAATGGAACACCTAACCTGCTTGGGTGGGAGGTATGTTAAGAAGGATGAGAAGGAAAGGATAATATTTTTTGTACAAGTAGGGGAGTGAAATGATTTTTTAAAAAAGCAAAAAAGTTTTTGATATTTCTATAAAGAATTATAATAAGAGTTTTCACTTAATATGTCCTCAAGATGGCAGCCAATTAGTAGGGTGTTCGGCACTTTTTGAAGATTGTCTGTTTACCATTTAATACTTAGTACAGAACGTGTTCGTATCTCAATGAGGGAGAACCCTATCCTATGGACCATGTGTAGAATTAATTTGAAAGTTGTGGACAAGACATAGAACCTGATTGTAAGATTTTTTTTTTAGGGATCCCATGAGAAAATCTACGGATAAAGTTAATTGTTCTCCTACTGTCTTAGAATCGACTTAGTTAATTTTAAATGTTTATTTCTTTACTTGTTTATAAAGGAGAGTAGATCCGTGAAAAGTGACAGTTCTGTAAGATTATTAAGTGGCTACATTAGAGAGTAAATTAAGAAAGGCGGGGTATATTTAATAAATTGAGTGCGTGAGTAGATAGTCTTTGGGTTTTTTTTTGATAACCTAGATACCTTGCTTAAACTTAATTACCAAGGGTTTCTTGGATTTGTGCATGGATATACTATTGGACAATTACAGAGAAAATTCACGGGGTTAGATGTGACGATAATTAGGTATGGATACTTTATATGAGTAATTAACTTTTAGCATGTAAACAGAAATATATTGCATATAAAACCGAAAGTATGGGATAACGAAATTAAATAGAAGGCTTAACAAGACTTAATGGAAGCAGGGAATTTAACCGAATGAGGAGATATAATGTCATCATATTGTTTCGTGCTTTGAGATAGAGTGATTATGGAGTGGTCGGGTTGGTAATGTGGGGTGAGGGGTACATTGAAAGCAACTCTTGCGGGTTCCCTAAAATTAAGTGTGTTTTGTTTTTCCTATATTTTTAAGTTTGTCGGATAGGTCGGTCATGGTCTAATTCGAATGTTGATGGAAGTCATTAGTTGTATGTCTATGGGCTTTTTGTGTCCCGTTTCTTGTGCAAAAAGCAGAGGTAAGATAGTAAAAGAACGTATGGGTATGTTGTAGAGAGAGAAAAGGTTGGAAATTGTAACCGTTAAGAGAGGGTTCTGTTATTCATTTTACGTTAGTATTTGGTTCATTAATGTAGATGAGAGGGTCCTCTGGTTGTTGCAGGCAACTGCCAATAACAGCTACAGTGTAACCTATTAAAAAAACAGAGTATATTATATACTACTCTACATTCTACATCTCCTTTAAAACATATTTATATGGAGTGGTAATATATATTACATTTTTCAAGTTGAAATAGTACATTTTTGGGAAACCATAATTAAAAAAAAGAATTGCTTTTGGAATTTATGGTCAATTTATTCTATTCCCCCCTAGCTTCTTCAAAAGGAAGGAATGAAATGCATTAAAATTTTCTACATTTCCTACCCCTTAAGGAAAACAGTAACGGTAAGTATCAATTTTCATTTTGTCATAACTGTCCAATATTTATGTATTTATTGTAATTCCATAAATAATAATTATGGTTTTTCTAATATAAAATAAAATATTTTGTGCAATAGCTTATTATGAAATACTTTTGAGAAGAAAAGGTCAGGACTTGACAAATATATAAAAACTTTTTCTTTAAAAATTGAAATTATCCGGTTTTGATTAACTTAAATCCAGACCATAGAACAGACATTTTTTTACTTGGCATTCTTTTTATCACTTTTATTTAAGTTATAGTTGATCAATAACTTTTAAAATGGCTTGATTTCATCCTGAGTTTTGAACCACAGATATATATATATATATATATATAAATTCTAAAATTTTTTTTGGAAGAAATTTGTCAGGGGCCATTTTTGAAGTTCTATTACTGGCAGGTTCTACTTAATGGGAAAGTATTAATTTGTTGAAGGTCTTACATATGACAAGAAGAAGAATTCATGGATTATTGAAATTGTCTTTCACTGTTTATAAACTTTGTACAACCTGTTCATTGACCGGT